TGTTTTGAGGTGTCATCTGCAGGAAGAAATTTCAGGCTCTGTTCCCTAAGCTGTCCTGTTTTCTGCAGATCCTCCATCACCATATTGCTTCTGTGGAGAAGCTGCCTCTGACCGCCTCCGGCTGCCCGTTGCTTATTCACTGCAAGAACTTCCGAGTGGTGCATTTTACTATCGGGCAGGAACGGGACTGTCACGAAGTCTATACCTCTTTGCTGAAACTCTCCCAACCAGGTATGGTTTTCTGGATCTTTCCTCCATTTTTACACCCTGGAGACACTCTTGCCTGGTGAAGGAAGGAAACTGGGGTCCTTGACCTTGGAGTTCCGCTTAAGCCAGAGAGGAAGAAAGGAAGGAATCAACGCATCATACTATTTCCCTCTCTCTGTTAAGCATGAAAATATCCTGCTTTTTATCCAGATGGAGGCAAGCAAAAGTGTTTTCTCCCAGAAATGCCAAATGCGCTCAAGTTGTCTTAAAAGTTCAGAAGACTTTTTCCTCTCTTTTCTTGACATCTCTCTCTCTCTGTTGACCGCTGTCTGGGGACGATGGATGTTGTTAGCCTAACATCTCTAAGGGACACCAGAGGGGAGAGGATGGCTTAAAGGAGGGGTTCCCAAACTTTGGGTAACCCAGATGTTCTTGGACTGCAACTCCCAGAAATCCTGGCCAGCACAGCTAGTGGTGAAGGCTTCTGGGAGTTGTAGTCCAAGAAGATCTGGGGACTCAAGACTGGGAACCACAGTGGTAGGGGAGTTACAGGCTGGACGGGGGACATTTCTGAGACCCAGTGAGGCTCCTTTGCCTTCTCATGAGGGGAGCTCCTCTGTGTTCTGGTTCAGTTCCTCCACTGTATCTTCCCTCTGCAATATCCCACAGGGCCAGAATTACTCATCGTCTCCTAGGGGATGACTTGACAGTTGAAGATGACCTGTTTGGGCAAATGAGTTGCTTTATCAGACCGTGGCAGGGCCCAGGCTCTCCCTAGGGAGCTGCCCTGAGAGACCGGCAGGATGCGTGATGGATTGGATCTGCATGTTGTGGAGGGGAGGGAAAGCCATCTTGGAGGGCAGGGGGCCAAGGGTGATGGGTGGTGGGGACAGCCTTCCTTTCACATAGAGATGGTTGACGTTTGCTTTCCAGGAAGAGCCAGCCGGTCTCTTTTCCCAAAAAAGTTGGGAGCATCTGAGCAAAACAGTTCTAGGGACATAAGAGTCTCAGATGAGATTCGTATAAGATTGATGTTTTCATTCTAAGACATTCCCCCCTCTCTTAGTCACACACATATGCACACCCACTGCTTTTAATAGAAGACAGGCTTTTCTCTCCATCCCACCACCCTCACTGGGTGCGCTTGGTGGGGATGCGGGAGAGGACCTTCTCTGGCTGCTCCCAGGGACTGTGGAACTCCCTGTCTCAGTCCCGCCACCCTCACTGGGTGCGCTTGGCGGGGATGTGGGAGAGGACCTTCTCTGCGGCTGCTCCCAGAGACTGTGGAACTCCCTCCCACTGGATGCCAGGCTGGCCCCCTCTTGGCTTTCCTTCTGCAAGCAGGCAAAGACTGTTATCATTAGGCAGGCAAAGACTTTTATCTTTAGGCAGGCTTTTCCCTTCGTGACTGGCAGCCTGAGTGGGAATTTTAAATGGATGGTTGTGCCTTGTTCCTTTGAATGTGTTTTTAGTATTGCTTTTGTTTACCATTTCCCGGGGTGGTATCTGTTTGATCCCTTTCAGTATTTGTACACTTACTCTTTTTACCTTTCTATACTGTCTTTTCATAATATAAGCTACTTTGGGTCCTTCTTGATTGTGCATTGCCTCTTCCAGTCTTTTTGGGGCTCCTGGTTTTGAGCTCCTCCATTCTACAACAGGCAGATCCTTTGAAATGCTGTTTAAAGGCAGGTCCTTCCTCTTTGATTTATAAATAATCATTAAAATTCTCAAGGGACCAGTTTCCAGCATGCCACTAGAGTAAATGCCTTCTTCAGGACCCGGTGGGGAGACAGAGAGAGAAAAGGCAAAACAGAAATACATGTGTGTAAACATAAAGTTTTTCCCCCAAAGTGCTACCCATAATTACCGTGTTTCAGTAGGTAGTACTGTGGCGTCTGTAAAAGTCACAACATTGTTACCGTGTTTCAGTAGGTACAGCAACAGTAGTACTGTGGCGTCTGTAAAAGTCACAAGTGTGTTTCAGCATGAACGTTGACAGATTGCCTTCTGCTTCTTCAGATGCAAGAGGTTGGTGTGTCTGAAAACAGTGCGTTTCTATTTCATGGAAGCTCATGGAAATAATATTTGTTAGTTTTAAAGCTGCCACAATGCTTATGTATTTGTGCATCTGAGATAGGATAGAGTCCTCCAGGGTTTATGTATTGCATTGCAAACCTTGTACGTACTTAAGGAAGGAGAACATCTGCCACAGCTTTATCTTCAGAGAAGCTCTGTCAAAATTGGACAGCGCCAGAACTGGTGTTCTCTCTGTTAAAGATACGTGTGACTGGAGGGTTCTAATAAGACTCGAGGGCATTAGAGATGTAAAATTTCTAGAAATTCTGTAGCCATATAAAACAGCTTTGGAAAAAACCTGGAAAAAAAATTTTTTTGGGGGGGGGGAGAAACAGACTTTTCTGTTTTACTTTCCAAAGCTGTTTTATATGGCTTCATAATTCCTGGAAATTTTACATCTCTAATCTGGGATATCAATTAGGCAGGGTTTTGAACTGCAGATCTTACACTTACAGGAATGGAAGGCACACGGATTCTTAATTAAAACTGGGTGGGCCAAAGTCTTTCATTTTAGAATCCATGCAGTTCCCATTTTCAGCAGGATTTTGAAACAAGCAGGTGCTGAAGCTTTATAAAGGCTGGCTCATTTTCCTTTTGTCATAAAAGCGACCCTCCCAGGCAACTAAAAATTGCTAGGGAGAGGGACTAGTAAAATATCTATAGTTAACCATTTCAGGGCTTATTTTTGAAGCCATAAAAAGCAAATCTGATATGATTCTATGGACATGGAAGGTGAAACCCCACCACAGACTTCCATGTGATTTTCTAAGAGCCTCTGGCAAGCATGGCTGCTGCAATCACTGGTTTTCGCCCTCTTTGAAAATTGCCTCTTTGCTTTAGGGAAACCCGAGGAACTTTATGCGTTTTCATACAACCCTAAAATGCCCAAGGACCACCGAGAGATGGGCTGGAAACTCATAGAGGTCGGCGTGGACTACCAGAGGATGGGGATCCCCAATGATTACTGGGAGTTTACCGATGCCAACAAAGATTACGAGGTAAGTCTTGTTCAGATAGCTGGCCGATTTTGGGTGAGATGTACAGCTCTGATAAATGATTGTTTGCACATTGTTTCATATTGTGTTTTATCGGTCCTGCTTACATATTTTGACTTTATTTACCAGCTCCCTGGGAAGGATGGAATCTGACTTTAAGGCTATAAGGAGATATATTTTTCTTTATCTTCTTAGCTAGAAGAGTTTCTGAATGGCAAGGATTTACTTGCATTCAGTATCTTTAAACAGATGTAAGACACATAACTAAATTTGTCCATTTCCGAAGAAGTTTCAGGAAGTTCATTCATCTGAAGAAGCGAGTTCAGATCTGAAAAACAGTCTTAAAAGTGTCAAGGTTTTGTTTTAATCTCAGGGCTGGACTTGTTACAGCCAGCAGGCGCTCCATTGTAATAAATGTTCCAGACGGTTCACATCACAGCGATTTAAGGTCCTGGTCCTCTTTCCCCTTTTCACGTCCTAGGTCTGCAACACATACTCTCCGGAACTCGTGGTGCCGAAAGCCGCCACCAAGGCGATGGTGCTGGGCAGCTCCAAGTTCAGAAGCCGAGGTCGGATCCCAGCGCTTTCCTACTTCTCCAGAGAAAACAATGTTAGTCATGCGTGTTCTGCTCTTTCTGGGGTTGCTTCTGCCTCCGGGGCCATTGGGTGACTTCCCAATGCAAGTGCACTTTGATATTTGTTGGGCTGCGTTCTTTACGTTTCATAATTGCAGGAACGGAGCTGGAGATGGGTATCGTACTCCAGATGTTGCTGGAGTACGATACCCATCATCTCTCACCATTGGTTGTATGTGTGTGTCTCTCTCTCCTAAGCCTGATGGGTTTTGCAGTGCTTTAACATTAAGGCCTGGCCCTCCAGATGTTGCTGGAGTACAACACCCATCATCTCTCACCATTGGTTGTGTGTGTCTCTCTCTCCTAGGCCTGATGGGTTTTGCAGTGCTTTAACATTCGGACAGCTACGCTCGTCCTATGCCTGCATCAGACCCTCCATACAACTTATTGAGGGAGAGCCAAGGAGGGTCTTGTAGCCCTCAGATGAAATTTATTACAGTGTGTGTGTGTGTGTGTGTGTCTGTAGCCCTCAGATGAAATTTATTACAGGGTGTGTGTGTGTGTGTGTCATGTTTTGCTTTGTTTTTGAAGAGCTGAAGTCTTTTGATATAGACAGACTTTGGAAATAGAAGGTAACACCCAGTAGCTTAGCACAAACATGTCTCCCTACGGGGCTAGTTTTTTAAAAGTTTGTTTTGTTTTAAGAATACAAATACTTCCTCTATGCTCACACCAAAGAGCATGTTGTTACATGGTTGGGCAAAAAGAGTATCGGCCCTTTGTTTTTGAAGAGCTGCAGTCTTTTGATGTAGACAGACTTTGGAAACAGAAGGTAACACCCAGTAGCTTAGCACAAACATGTCTCCCTACGGGGCTAGTTTTTTAAAAGTTTGTTTTGTTTTAAGAATACAAATACTTCCTCTATGCTCACACCAAAGAGCATGTTGTTACATGGTTGGGCAAAAAGAGTATCGGCCCCCATCTCTTTTAAACAAATGATTTATGACTCCCTCCTTAGTTGGCTAGCATCCACTTTTGGAATTTCAGTTGCATTAATCATCATGTGCTGTTAAGTCTGTTCTGACTTATGGTGACCCTTTTCAGAATTTTCTAGGTGGACTGAAGTGCTTTACCCTTCCCTTCCTCTGGGGGCGCTCTAGGACCACTGGGCAGCTGGCCCAAGGCTACCCAGGCTGGCTCTTCTCCCAGGAGGCAGCAACGGGGAATCGAACTCCCAACCTTTGGCTCTGCAGCCAGGGACCTAAACCATGGAGCTCTCCAAGAAGCTTCACTTCGATTAGAGGGCACTAATCTGTTTTGGTTTTTGGCTTTTAAAAAAATGAATCTGAGCCCACCAGAATCAGGGATGGGCTAATTACATCTCACCTCTGATCCGCTCAGATTTTTGATCTGGGAGAAACAGGTTGGAACAGAGAGTTTTTCTACAGAAAGTTATTATCACCCTGGTTAAATGGAACTCATTGCGAAATTAAAATGCTGAGCGTTTCACTTTTAACTTTTGCTGCCTCTGCAGCGCCCCGGGCTGAAGTATGGGCGGAATTATTTGGCAGCCGGGCTTTCATTTTTATTTTGTCCCTGGGACTTCCCCTATCCTGTTCTGGCAGCTCAGCATCACCATCAGCGATGGGTTATCTGTAATAAAGAGAGGCAGGCATAAGAGGGACATGGGAGTGACCCCATTTCCTCCAAGGGCCGTTGTCTTCTTATTTCAAAGGACCAGCAAAAACTGAACAGTTGGGTTGCTCCACAAAGAAGAGAACCCTTAAGCCCCCTCCCCTGGACCCTGCCTTTATTAGGAGCAACTAAAACGCCCCCAAACCAGGGAGCTTTGGATGTCTCCAGAACCCTTCCATGAAGCTGGAGGGGAGCAAGAAGGGGTTGCTGGTGTGATCCTCATCCCTGAAGATCTATCTTCAGGCTCCGCCTCAGTATGGGGTTGCACAGACATCACAGCTACAACATTTAGTTGGTCCTCATAAGGGTCCCCTTATCTCAGGAGAAAGGTAGCCTGTAAATAAGACAACAAATGAAAAAATCAATGAATAAGAAATATCTGGCCTAAATTTTTGGATTGCCCCGTTTATTTCCTCCGTAATTCATCTTCTAAACTAGCCAAAGAAAAAAAAAGAAAGAAAAAAATCCGAAACCCTTCTTGCTTCTGGGATGTTTTCGTGGGTCCGAGCAAAAAGGAGGATGAGCAGACTAAAGCTTTAGGGTTTTCATTCTCAAGAGCCTTGTGACCATTGAGCCAGTTGCTGTGATCACTACCAGCTCCTGGAGAGCCTCTGACCCATTGCCGGCGGCCCTCTCTCATGTCTTTCAGGCCGCCATCTGCCGGTGCAGCCAGCCCTTGTCCGGGCTTAACACTCGCTGCCTGGAGGACGAACAGCTCCTGCAGGCCATCCGGGAAGCCAACCCTGGAAGTCCGTTCATGTATGTTGTAGACACGAGGCCAAAGGTACCACTTCCTGGGATCTGGGGGTGCTTCTGGTGGGGGGAGGGGGTCACCCCCTCTGCTGCATCTTCACACACACATACCGAAGGTCTGGCGTTCCCAAAGCACAGCCCAAGTTATAAAGGGCGGGTGCCAGAAATGGGCTAGGAAGGAAAGCAGAACCCTTCCTTGATAGTCATCACTGCTGCTGAAGTCCTACCCAGTTACACAGGAGAACCTGCAAGTTGTTCAGTATTTGCTGGATTTTAAAAGACTTCCAGGAGCTGGGTTGAAGCCAGATGATCGAGAGAGATTTTTAAAAAAATCTCAACTTTGTCAGTACAGGAGGGCCCTCTTATCTGCAAGATCAGTATCCACTGATTTGCATAGGCATGGTCTGATAATATTAAAAGAAAAGTCCTAGAGAGCATGCTATGTATAGTATTAAATGTTTGCTATAATCTATGTTTTTCAGCATCCGGAGGGCCCTTGGAATGGATCTCTTGCAAATACCGGGGGTCCTACTGTACTCTGAACAGAAAACAGTAACACTCCGTGCCAAACAAAATTGAGTTCTGGAATGTGTGCAAAATCTCCAAAGTTTATATACCTGATTTCTTTTTAAGTCTTGCCTGCATAAATGATTTGGCTGATCATGGGAAGAGTGATGAGCACTGAAGACCCGGCCGCAGTTACCAAAACCCTTATTCAACCTCACACACACCCCGGCAGATGTTTACAAAAGTTTGCAAACACACCCACGTCCACATGGACTAGGAAAGCGTATCTTTGTGTGTCTTTAAAAGCTGGCGCATGCAGGAAGCTGAAGCTTTTCTACACTGCGGTGTGGTGTGCTTGCATTAAACCTTGCTTTTCTCCTACCTTAGTTTCATGGGTGTAGCTGTGATCGTTGTAAGGAAAAACCCAGCCACGACAGAGATGCTAGTGGTTCCTTAATCATCATCATCATCATCATCTTAACTGCATTGCTGGAAGGGATCAGATCCTCTCAAGGAGGCACGGTGGGGGAATCGAATTCCCAACCGTTGGCTCCGCAGCCAGATGCCTAAACTGCTTAAGTTACAAAGTTTAAAATCAGTTCCACTTTTCCCGGTGAACGTGAAACCCCAGCCACCAGAATGGAAATTCTGGAAAATGCTGCCGCCGGCAGCGTGACCCCTGGGAACAGAGGGGATGAGAGGCAGTGAGTGTTCTGTTCGTAATGTTTGCCGTCTGGTTTTTCCAGCTGAATGCCATGGCCAACCGTGCTGCCGGAAAGGGCTACGAGAATGTGGATAATTACGACAACATCCGTTTTAAGTTCATTGGGATCGAAAACATCCATGTAATGAGAAGCAGCCTGCAGAAGCTTTTGGAAGGTGCGTATTTCGATTGGCTGGTCATAGAATCCTAGAGTGATAGAGTTGGGAGGGGCCTCTCGGGCCATCGCGTCCAACCCCCCCATCCCCACCCCGCTCAAGGCAAGAACCCAAATCCAAGCAGGTGAAGTTTGTCCAATTTTCTCTTGAATACCTCTAGCGTTGGAGCGCTCACCACCTCCTCCGGTAATTTGTCATACTGCTCGAACAGTTGAGAAGTTTTTCCTGATGTTCAGCCTAAAGCTGGCTTCCTGTCGCTTGGGCCCATTATTGCATGTCCTGCACTCTGGAATGACCGAGAACAGATCCTGCCCTTCCTCTGTAGCCTTCCAAGTATTTGAGGAGTGCCCTCCTGTCCCCCCCCCCAGTCTTCTTTGCTCAAGGCTAAACAGGGCCCTGTTCTTTCAGTCTTTCCTGTAGGGCTGGGATTCCCAACCCCCTGGCTGCCCTCCTCTGAACTTGGCCCAGTGTGTTGGCCTCCTCCATGGCCGCATGGGGGGGGGTGTCACCTGCCGAACTGAATTGTTCTTGGCAGACACCAGAGCTTGTCTGCTGCGGGAGCCCAGGACAGGCTAGAACCCAGGAGAGTTAGATATGCGGCTCTCAGGATTTCAGTATAGACGGTGCCAGGTAAGAGCCTCGTGGCACAGTGGACTGCAGCCACAACTGCTCACGACCCCAGGTAGCCGGCTCAAGGTTGACTCAACCTTCTGTCCTTCCGAGGTCAGTAAAATGAGTTCCAAGCTCGCTGGGGGGGGGGGGCAATGTGGAGCCTGCATAACTAACTTGTAAACCGCCCAGAGAGTGCTTGAAGCGCTATGGGGCGGTGTATAAGCAGCACGCTTTGCTTTTCGCCATGCTTATTATGAGCCACAATGCTCTTTAAATTCCTCACCATGCTTGTTATGAGCCACAATGCTCTTTAAATTCCTCCTTCCTCCAGTGCTCTTAAATTCCTCCATGAACAGGTGACAGTTTTTGAGCGATGTTTGTTTAAAGTGTCTCCCGGCCCTTGGAAGGGACTTTAAAGAAGGGCAGGGGAAGAACGGGATTTCACCCAAAGGTCTGTTTTTGTCCCTCCAGTGTGTGAAATGAGATATCTTTCAATGAGTGACTTCCTTACCGGCCTGGAGAACTCTGGCTGGTTACGGCACATCAAAGCTATAATGGACGCCGGTGTCTTTCTTGCAAAGGTAAAGCCAGGCTCTGAGTTTCTGGAGAACAGGTGTACCGTCCAGAGTTTGGAATATTGACTGTTTTGGCTACAACTCCCTGAATCGCACGCGGGCCCTGGAAGGTGGGAATGCTTGGGAAATGAAATCCGCGAAAGCCCATGTTGATATCGTCTGCGAGGTTCTAGAACAACAGATTAAGGATTCTGCAGGCCTTGGAATGTTATGGCACACCAGCTCCCCCCCCCAATCAGCCTATCTATGGAAAGTTGTAGTCCAGTGGCATCTGGAGAATTATCAATTCCCTTGTTTCTACAGTAAAATAAATTCAGAAATGAAAACCTTGCTCCTTAAAATGTGGTGGGAGATAGGTATGTCCTTACAGAAGGCAAAGAACTCTTGAGGATCTAGAACATTTTTTTCAGGACCATGGGCACATTCTGGATCTTTAAAGCCTACAAGGGGAGGGAGAGGGTTGTGTGAGATTTTGCCTCCCCAAAGGGACTTCCCCGTGCTCTCCAAATACTGCGTTGAGTTTGAGGGTATGTTCTACCTGTCTCTCTCCTTCCCTGTTGTGGCTTTTGGCCATTCCCCTCTTGGCCCATAACAGTCAGAGATAGTTGGCATGGTGGTTTGTTGGTTGGCTTAAACCCTACCTCCTAAGTAAGTCTATTTTCGCCGTTCTCCAGGCAGTGAAAGATGAGAAGGCCAGCGTTTTAGTGCATTGCTCAGATGGCTGGGATCGCACCGCTCAGGTCTGCTCCGTGGCTTGTCTCCTCCTGGATCCCTTTTATCGGACATTTAAAGGATTCATGGTAAGAGCAGAGAGGCATTGAGGAATGGTTTCACCACTGCCACCAATCCCCTCAAATAGATATCCGTCAACTCGCTGAATCTTAAAAAAATTCTGTTAACCTGGTAAACACAAAGAGACTCTTAATTCCATGTACCCTGGTCTAATCAAGAAGGTACATGGGTGGTACCTTTGGATATTTTTTTTGCCTTCTGTTGACCTTTTGGAGCTGTTTGAAAACTTAACTTTCCCCGGGTGGGGTGGGGGTGAGGAGAGCTTAAGAGGAGGGCACGGCTGTCGCTTCTGCAGGATTCTGCTCTTATGCAGACGGAAGCCCAGCATCGAACACAGCTTTGGATCAGAAGCAGAACGAAGGAAAAGAAGGACATGTAGGGTTTGATCCTGGCCTTTTCGGAAGCAGCAACGAGCGCACAGCTTTGGGAATCGATCTGAAACGGGAAAGATCTCCCTCGAGTTTGTCCAATTAACTCTGGAGCATTTGTGAGCCGGTGGGGAAGCTGTCTGTCATTTTTACCTAGAGTACAGTGTACTGATTTTTTTTAAAAAAAAAACAGACATTCTCCTTTGTTGCCTTTTCGGCTTCCTTTTGAGAGGTGGTTCTGGTTTCCGGGGGTGGGGGGGGGCTCCTTAAAAAACAGTCTCTCTGGAACTTTACAGGCTGGATCCTCATCATAAGTCTTCCTCCAGCTCCCCTTTGTCCGGGGCACCACAGCTGGTCAGTTGGCAGTTCCTTGTGCCCTGAAGGCTCGGCAGGACACACAGCAAGATGAGCCGACAGACAAAGAGAAGGCCAGAGTGAGGCCGGGCTGCAGCTTGATCCTGCTACAGCCAGTACACATCACACTTTCTTCCCAGCCCAAGTGTTACAGCCAGCTTTCCTGAACTGCCTGCAGCTGGATTTTATTTTCATACGATTATGTTCTTTAAAAAAAAAAGCATCATGTATCAGTTGATCAGCTGTACATCTTTGCTCCTCTCTGCATCATGGTCTAACTCTGTGATGGTACCTGGGAAGGAACAGCTGCAAGACAAGATGCCCATGTCCAAGATTTCCCTGAACGTTCATCACTACCGTTGTTGTTTTCAACGCTCCGGATGCTGTTTGGCAGAATTGTAATAACAATTAAAAACTACAAGACCCCCAGTGGCAGTTTTGCAGCGTGAGCATAGCTCACATCCGGGGAGAAAGCGAAGAGGAGCGGCCGTCATATCCATTTAAAATCGGAGTCGCCGCCCCTCGGGTTAAAGGACGGGTGTCTCTGAAACAGGCAAGCCAACGGTTGAGGTTAGGAATGTTTTATCGCCATTTCCTCTCCGGCTGCGCCCGACCCAGATTTAAAGCTTAGCATACCACCATCCGACACTCGGCGGTGCATATGCTCCTTGTATAAATATAGCGCTGCCTTGAAGCGGTTCCTATAATTAAGAGGGAAAGCATATGCGAGCCAGCGCATAATCCGATCCCAAGATACCCCGAAATGTTTTCAAGTGTTTTGAAAAAAAGTTCATTTGAAGAAACCAAGTGCTTCTAAAGCTTTTTTTCCTCTCTTTTCCCCTTCCGGACAGTCGTTGCTTTTGGGGTTAACACAAATCACATTGTAAGTCGGCAAACCATTCCTCTTGCCACAGCAGAGCCATACCTAACTTGGTGCCCTGCAGAGGTGGTGGACTACAGCTCCCATCATCCCCAACAGGCTAGCCGGGAGCCACGGAAGCTGGTTCAGCTGGGCCGTCCTCCCTGGAGGCCCCATTTTTAGAATTTGGTTTCCAGATGCCCTATTTTATGACAACGCCCGGCCCCTTAGAGCTCTTCTGGGTTTGCAGAAGGAGAGGGAACGTTGGTTTTCGAGCTGCGTTGTCTATTCTCTCTTCTTTATCTCTCCCCCGGGAATCATTTTAAAAGCTCTCCCGTGGAGGAAGATATTGTAAGCGATACATTAAATACGGCACGGCCTTTTTAACAGCTCTTTGACAGGATTCTCCCTTTGGAGCCCATTCGTACATCATGCAAAAATGCAGCTGCAGCTTTTTGAAGCTGGTCTGCATTAACCCGCAGCCAAGATGAATCCTATTTTTTGCATTTCCCCCTCCAAAACGATTTGCCTGCCGCAAACCGGTGCCTTAAGGGAGGGTTGCCTTCGTCTCTGTCCTCTGCGTCCTGGGAGTGCGTTGCCCACGGCTGGTGTTCGGAGATGTTGATGCTGTGAATGTTGCCACTTAATTTGGTCTTTTGGCCTCTTGGTAAACTGTGTTTTCTTTTTCTTTCTGATTGACCATTACAGGTCCTGATAGAGAAGGAATGGATCGCGATGGGCCACAAGTTTTCACACAGGTAAAAATTAGACTTGAGTGTGCGAAGGTTAGGAAGACGCAGGCTTGAAATCAACGGAGGCAAGGAGGGACTTGCTGACGAACAGTTCTTCAGTCCTGTGATTTCGATCGTTGCATTTTTGTGTGTGCTGTCAAGCCCGTTTGGACCCTTTTCCAGGGTTTTTTAGATGTGGATTACTCAGAGGTGTTTTACAAGTCCCTCCGTCTGATGTGCTCTAGTGGTTCCCCACCTTGGACAGACCAAGTGTTCTTGAACTTCAACTCCCAGAAGCCTTCACTACAGACTGTGCTGGACAGGATTTCTGGGAGTTGCGGAAGCCTTCACTACAGACTGTGCTGGCCAGGATTTCTGGGAGTTGCGGTCCAAGAATGTCCAAGTGACCCCAGGTTGAGAACCATTGCTTTAAACCTATGCAGCTTGCCGAATGTCTAGGTGACCCCAGGTTGAGAACCATTGCTTTAAACCTATGCAGCTTGCCCAAGGCCACCCAGGCTGGCTCTTCTCCCGGAGGCACAGTTAGGACCTGAACTCCGGACCTCTGGCTCTGCAGCCCTATACTCCAACTCACCGAGCTATCAAGCCAGCGGCCATTCTGGTTGCACTTCTGTAAGTAGCCAAAAGGATTCTGGACACCTTGGATTAGATCCAGTTGCTATTCCCCAACAAACGTACCTCTGTTGAGTTGATGGACTTTTACTTAAGTGTTGAGCATCCACGTTCCCGGTCCAACTGGTGGAGGGATGGAAATCCATCTCAGGTCCATGTGCCGGTCGATCTTTTCTGCCCTGAGCCCCCTTTTTCTTGCCTCCGCAGGTGCGGCCACCTGGAGGGAGACCCCAAAGAAGTGTCTCCTGTCTTCACCCAGTTCATTGACTGCACCTGGCAGCTCCTGCAGCAGTTTCCCTGCGCCTTTGACTTCAACGAGCGCTTTCTTCTCGAGATCCACGACCATGTCTATTCTTGCCAGTTTGGCAACTTCCTGGGGACCTGCCACAAGGACCGGGAAGATCTAAAGTGAGTCGGCATTCCCAGGGAGCAGAATGTGGGGGGTTTTCTTTTATATTAAGAATATATACATATAAACAAAAAGGAAGACTATATATATATAGTCTCTATATATAGTCTTCCTTTTTTGTTTTTAGAAAAAATTAATGTTTTTAACTTTGACTTCTACACCTTTACGTCAAGTCGGGAGAATGACCTGATTTGCTGTAAGCTGGCCAGCCAAATCTTGGAGTCTCTAATGAGATTCCTCAAAGCTGGCCCTGTGGAACGTAACGGGCCATGATTATACAGGTTGGATGAGTCCTTGGGTCTAGACGTGGGGGTTAGATGCAGGGTACGAAGCAACGTTCTCAACCAGAGGCTACCCAGTAACTCTCCCCTGAGCGTCCTCCCTGTTTATTTTTCCGCCTGGCAGAATTTTTGAGAAGACTCACTCTCTGTGGCCGTTCCTCCTCCAGAAGAAGCAAGAGTTTAGAAATCCACTCTACAAAGGATTCACGGCTTACAAGGAACTCCGGCCCAACACCTTGCCGTTCAGCTTCCAGTAAGTCGCTTATTCAAGGTAGAGAAGACCGGGGAGGGGACAGGGAACCCTGTATTTTCCTTAACTCTGAATAGCTCTCCCCCCCCTTGGCAGTTTCTGCCCAAATCTTGTCACACCACTTGGTGCAGGCAGAAGGGAGAAGCTTTTTTAAGGAACTTTGGAGGTTCTTTTCTTTCTTTAATCTCAGAAATAAGTTGTGTGGTTTTTTTTAACTGCTCATTTTTTTTCTTTAATATTAACCTAATCTACTACTAATATTTTTTAGATCTGATCCCCTGCCTTGTAACCACAGTTTTGTGTGCTTGTTAGATGAAATGCAGATGTATTAAATTATAATTTTGAGCCAAAAATGGCCTGCCTCCTCTTAACACCTTTGGCAGAGAAGGGTCTTTTCACCACGACCTGATGGTTTTAATTGGAGAAGTACGAGCAGCAATGAGATGGGGTCCTTGCACAATAGTCTATTAGCACAACACCCCTGAGTTAGTTGCTACAATTTTGCAAAATTGCTGTATCTTTGTTCTCCAAAGATTGAGTTTTGTGGGTGAGAAGGCAGTTTCTCTTAGCCTCCCCCACTACCCTTCTGACCATGGGGACCCAGAGTGGGGAGTCCACCAGAAATTCTGGGTGCCTGATTTCTAAGCGAAGTCATAGTCCTTAGGCTGTTGTGCCTCCAGAGTTTTTTAACATGACCGTCACGCTTCTCATAAGTGTTTGTGACCCTAAAAGCAAATGTAAATGACAAAGCCGTCCATACTTGTTCCTACTAGACTTCTCTCCATCCTTCTCTCTCCTTGAGGTTCTGGTGCGGCATGTACAACCGTTTCGATAAAGGGATGCACCCAAAGCAGTGTGTCTTGGATCATCTCCTTGGCTGTATCAGCCAGAATGTGGAGCTGGAAGATGCTGCCGGCGAGCTAGAAAATGTGAGTACTAGGAAAGTGAGACCAAACTCAGAGACAAAGAGAATAAATCTAATGCTGTCACTCAGGGGTAGGATGATGGAGCTGCTTTTATCTGGGAGGGGGGGGATTGTTTTGAACTTTCCTAGGTGCATATTCTTCCTGCCTGCTTTCTGGGTCCTTAACTCATTACTTATCCCTCCCTTCCTGTCCTAGGCAGATATTTTTCGTCTGACTTCTGATGCTTATCTGTGTTTTAACATCTGCAATACCCTCCTGCCGTGTTCGCTTGACATGCAGGATTTGAATTGGGTTGCACAGACCGGGCTTCCCAAGGCAGAAGCCGGACTGATCCTTCTTCAGCAAGACTTGTTCTCCCCCCAGTGGGTCTGCCTGACCCTAGGCAGGCAGCAAAACCAAAAGAATTTTGAAACTCCTAGGGAGTTTAGGGAGTAAAAATATGAGGTGGCTGTCTTTTGTCTGCTGGTCTCCTGGGCCGGGTTTAGTCCAAGGATTCCCACAACTATCCAGCCAGCCCTGATTAGGTGTTAGGGCACCATTTACATCCGATCTAAATGACACTCTGTGGATATGGGAGTCTTACTGTCCTGGTAAATTCCTCGGTGCTCTGCTGTTTGCATCACACATTTTGGGTTCTGATAATGAATTATTTTTCCGTCGATACAGAAGTTGCCTCTCCAAGATGGGCCGCTGCCTGACAAGATTCCCATCTTACCCAGAATGGCCGTCGCTTCCACCCGCTGTTCAAAATCCCCCCTGCTCAACACGCCTCAGGACTACGAGGGCGAAGAGGCCCCCGCCCTGCTGGCCAACGGGACCGTCGCCGGCAAGGGAGGGGACGGACCGGGTCGGCCTCTGACAGCCTTCCAAGAAGACCAGGCCAGTTCCCTCAAATTGGTCCCGGAGAGCGAGAGCTGGCCCGCCGGGGGGACCGCCCGACCTGATGCCCCGGAGGGAGACCTCCAGGACCACTGAGATGGGCTGCGAAAGCCAAGGAGAAGCGGCCGGCGAGAGGGGTCACCCTGGGCCAGGCCAGTCACCTCACCCCTGTGGGGCCAAGCGTTGCGTTCTGTGTGTTGAAAGCATTGGGGCAGGGAGAGCTGGTGTCGGCTGGTTTGGAGGGCTTTCTGGAGCCGGGCAGAGACCGCACAGGGCTTGTGACTGTCACGGATGGGGACCAAGTCAGGCCATACAAGTGTGCTCTGTCTCTCTCTCACACACACACGGTCAGATGTTACTCGTAGCCTCTGAGGACGGTGACTCCCTGTCGATAGGGACCCTTTTTTCAAACCACACCAAATCGGATCCCCAGGGAAGAAAGAGGTTGCCATGAAAGGACCAACAGTCAGACCATGTTCAAAGAAGCCCTTTTGCGGCTGCCTTGTGCGGGGACTCCCTTCTGCGACCACCTCGGGTTAGAATTTGGGGGCCCTGCACGTGTTTCTCTTCTTTTTTTTTTTCCCTACATAGCTGTGCCTTCTGCTGTTTACGTTGTTTTTTTTTAAGCATTGATGAACCTCATGCCCCTCCACTGGCCCTGTGGTCATCTGCTCACTGTGGTGTGTGTGTGATTGTAATGTGGAGTATGTGGAAGTTGTGCTTTAGAACCGTATCCCTGTTTGTTTGTTTTTAAATAGCTGTTCTGAACCTGCTTGTTGTCTTGACAGTGGTTAGCACTCTGTCGCTGTTAAAAGATATTGAAAGGTGTTGTGGCCCACGGATGAAGTGACTTTAGGGACGACGGTCTCGGGTTTTCAAGCATCCACAGGGACTCTTGAATATTCAGTATTCTTCCTGTTTTCCTTTCCCTCCTTTCAGATACTGGCCAGGCTAATGATCACCTTTAGGGTGCTAAGAAAGGGCCCACGCCATTCTTTCCTCTGCCACACAGAAAAGATCACATCCAACAAAGCCCTTCTCCGAAGAAAGGGTGGAAATGCAAAGCATGGACATGTAGCTTGGCCAGATCCGGACCTCTTGAGAGCAGCGTGGGCATTTTGTCTTGCTAGATCCTTCATTTCGTGTTGTGCGATCCTTAATAACGGCACTGTCCACATCTGAGTGATGCGAGAAAACACGCCCCCGTCTGTGGAAAACAGTGAACAGGGAACGTGTGGTGGTAGACCGTGACGATGCCGGTCTGCTCTCAAAAGACAGGGCTATCATCATCTTAAAACTGTTGAGCTAGGACAGAGAAGCTTCTCTTTTTCAGATGCTCAGGAGTTGGACTTGGCGTTAACGATTTGCTGAGCTTTCTGGAAACTGGCCTTTTAACCTATCTGGAAGACCACACTTTCTCAACACTCTAGAAGGCTTATGGTTTGGACCAGAAGTCCCGAATCGGAAACCACTCAGACGACTCATTCAGGTTTATGCAGAAGTAGGGAATAGGACCCAAAGGGAAGAAGAGCCGTCTGGCCTTTCCAAACACCAACGCTCCAAAAATCACCACCTGGTCTTCCAAGCCCTACTGTATGTACTGTAGATGGGCAAAATGGTGTACACGGTGGCCAGTTATTCTGCTACGCTTTTCTAACAAACATTCCTTTCTAAAAGCCTATTTGGGTAGGAGCAGTCCGAAATGTCTTTATGAGCTGTTTGCCACTCCATGGAATGCAGAGGGAACCTCTGCTCCGCATGTCTGTCTACCTTTTCTTGCTTTTGATCCTGCTGATGCAAAACCAGAAAATAAACATGGAGGGGGGAAGGGGGCTGCTAACCAAGAGGTTAACATTATTTTAATAAGCACAGGCTCATGATGGAAAAGTTGGAAACGGCAGACATGCATGTACAATTACCAGCAGGGAAAAGCATGGCCAAATGTGTTAATCTAGTGGTTCCCCCTGAAAAAACTCATGCATGCTGTATTTGGTTTCCTGTAAGGGGAAGTTTTATTTATTCTTCTGCTGTTTTTAAAATAAAACTTTTTTTGGGGGGGTGGAGTGAATGCATCAGCCAGGATCCATTAGGACGCTTGCTCTGACAGAAGGCAGATATGGAACAATGCGGTCATAGGACGGAGGAACCCTCAAGACCAGAATTTTTAGGGGAGTTGGGATAAGGGAGAGCAGGAAACCAACTTGTTACAGGCACCACGTAGAGAAGGGACGTCGCCTCTTCCTGGATCCATTGACAGAGCACCTTCCTTCGGCACACACGCCAGACGGGGACCTGGCCATTCGTCTGATGGACATTCCATAGATGTACAACCTTCCCCTCGTAGGGGAGCAGAGGTGGAAGAAGTCCACTCTTCATCGTAAACCACCTTCTTGTATCGGAGTATCGCAGAAGTCACCCTTTTCCATCCTCTAGATTACGGGAGTTCAATCTGTTGCTAAAGGACTTTTCCAACCCTCTCAGGCATAGGCATACGAATTCGTATGCTTATGCCTGGCGAATACGTATATAAATTTTGTATAGTACTCAAAAGGAAGCTGCACGGGTAAGTCATTCCCCGGTGGAGGGAGTACGGAGTTATGAACTCAAAGCTCTGTCCCTTTCATGCTCCTTGGGGAAAATCGGAAAGCACTGGAAACCTTTACGTCCATGGAGATTCCGGACTCTTTCCACTTAGACCTGATGTATGAATTCTAAGCCTAGTGTCTTTAAATCTTCTGTTGCAATGTGGAACTAGCCGTCGGAATTAGGCCACTTTCAGCCGGCTCCTGCTTCATGTGAGCAAGAGAGAACGGTGGGCTGATGATCCACATAGAAAGATCTCGAGCTACTGATGCTTGCCCGGGCAGCCATTTTCCACATCAAAAACAACAAAAATTGGGAAAGCGTCACTGTATGTCCTTAGGCCTCCTGCGTCGGATATAATTGGCTCCCTGCTGTGGCACCCGGCGGAGCTTCGCTTTGTTCAAATTCTTACCTGCTCCTAAACATAGTGGTTTTGGGGCCAGCGCTCGTGTTCGGCAATGGGGAGTCTGTAGCCGTCTCTCGTCACCGACCTGTGGGTCCCTCCTGATTTACATGGACTACAGGCTGGAAGGCCTGGTCGTTGTCCTCCACGGATCTCTGGAAGGCAGCAGCTACAGGGGAGGGCTCTCTTTTAGAACTAAGCTTGCGGAGCAATCCTTGCACTCGGCACCTTTAGAGTTGGCTGGTTAAGCAAATCGTAGCTACGCCACCGTCGCCCCCCGACTGCCCCATAGAGACAGAGGTTATGTGGGTCCTTGTGAGGCTCCTTATAGACCCCATTCAGATGGAGGAGACTTGTTAACTTTCAGTGTAGCTTAGTATAGTAAATTGCAGTAGAGTAGGCCCATTGAATCAAAGGGGATGTGTTGGGCGAGTCAGCTCCTCTGTTTCATTGATACAAATAGGCCTATTCTAATTGCAACTTACTATAATAAGTTGCAATTAGAGTAGGCCCATTTGAATCAATGCAACAGACAAAGGAGCCGACTCACCCAACCCCCATTGATTCAGTGGGCCTACTCTAGTATGATTTTCTACACTAAACACGTGGGCCAGTGAATCCTTGGCATAAGTGGGTTGAACCAAAGCTTAGGGAGTTACTTTTTAAAAGTAATTAGCTCCTGTTACTCATTACAGTGTTTGAAGAGTAACTGTTCTGTTGTTGCAGTGTTGGGAAATGCTGTTATCACACTTGTAAACTTTTCTTACTTTTTTTTAAAATAATAGTGGTGTAAAACTTGAGAACTTACAAAATTCCACTGAATAAATGTCCTTGGGCAGTCACTTTGGGAAGTAACTAGAAAACCCTGAAGACTGTGGACCTTGAATGCTTCAAGCAGCCCCCTGGTCTTCAGAGGTTCGACCTGGGGGGGGGGCTCATCCTCAGCATCCGTGCCATGGAAGCCCAAGAGTGTAACTTTGGGATGGAGGTTCTTGGTGCTGTGGATCTCAAGTCCTGATACCCGTGGCCATGTGTGGCCATGATGGCCAAACCTTCCTGCAGTTGAAGGCCCCGATTCTCCATCGGAAGGACCAAGGGATCCAGACGCGCACCTCTCTCCTTGCTAGGCGACTCCACATTTCAGGGAGAGTGAAACCCGCTGTGCGTGGCCACAACCATCTGCATGGGTCCAAACCTCTTGTACAGTTATGGGTAATCCAGCTGATGAATGCCCCCTGGAATGGACTGAATGCATGAGTAGCTTTCCCGTTAATAGGTTTCTGCGTATGCATAAATGTATGTGTCTCGTTGTCATGGTGGTGATGCAGTACGTTTTCCAGGTTGTGTGGCGTTACGTTAATATAGCACTGGACCTGACAGTATATTAAAATGAGCATTAAAAGGCTCTGCAGTTCCCCTTTTGCAAAAAATAAATAAATGTAAAATTGTGTCTGATATAAAGTTTTGTAAGTTGCTGGCTGTGTTTTGTCTTAAAATATAGCTGTCTAAAACTGTGATTAATGATTCCCTCTATATATAGAGGGGGGGAATCATTATATATATATATTATATATATATATCTTAAATACATGGCCCAACTCTGATTTCACTGATAAAAAAAAAGATGGGGGGGAGAGAAGAAAAGAGTATTGTGCTCTTTATATACCTGGTTGCAAGTCTTATGGACAGTTTGATTTGTATTACGTTTTTTATTACAAAAATAATAAAGTTCTTGCATTTTTTTAACAGTCTCTATTTTTTACTTCTTGGGTCAACGATAGGTTTGAGGAGTTTTTGTTTTTAATGGCCTGGTCCTTGGTCTAATACAGTACTGTGTAAAGGACTAGAGCAGCACTAGAGAGCAGGTAGTTTTAGGGACACAAGTCGAAGAATAACCTACACTTTGCCCGCGGAGACAGAAGATAATGCCATCGTCATCTTTCCACGAACTGACAACAGGACAGAGGTCTTTCCTGCCCGCGTGGTCTACAGGAACGTTTGGTATGGTCCAGATGGGTTGGATTACAATGCCCATAATCTCCTTTGACTACTTGTAGGATAATGGGGGTTGTAGTCCTCCACTGGACCATAAAGAAGGCTGACCACTGAAGAATTGATGCTTTTTGTGGTGCTGGAGGAGACTCTTGAGAGTCCCCTGGACTGCAAGGAGAACAAATCTATCCATTCTGAAGGAAATCAACCCTGAGTGCTCCCTGGAAGGACAGATCCTGAAGCTGAGGCTCCAGTATTTTGGCCATCTCATGAGAAGAGAAGACTCCCTGGAAAAGACCCTGATGTTGGGAAAGTTTGAAGGCAAGAGGAGAAGGGGATGACAGAGGATGAGATGGTTGGACAGGGTCACCGAAGCAACATAAATGTGACCCAACTCCGGGAGGCAGTGGAAGACAGGAGGGCCTGGCGTGCTCTGGTCCATGGGGTAACGAAGAGTCGGACACGACTAAACGACTAAACAACAGTCCTCTACATCTGAAAGGTGTGCCACGTCAGGGCAAGTTGACCTCCATTCCCATTTTAGTTCTGTCCCACAAACCTTTCCATATCCCATATCCTCTCAAGCTTCTGCTGGGCAGAAAGTCCCATTCCGATGGGGTGGATCCATTGTCGACACCGATCTGATCACATTGTTTTGAGCTTTGCATAAGGTGGGCCTTGCATAGGTGTTGTTCAGAGAGCCTTGAGAAACGAAGACTGGGGGGAGATAGGAGAGCTCTTATCAAAGGCTTGAAAGGCTGCCCTAAAGAGGAGGGGCAGGATCTCTTCTCAATCATCCCAGAGCACAGGACACGTCATGAGGAACTCAAGCTACAGGAAGCCAGATTTCGGCTGAAAATCAGGGAAAACTTCTTAACTGTTAGAGCAGTATGACAAGGGAACCCATGACCTCGGAAGGTGGTGAGCGCTCCAATGCTGGAGGCCTTCAAGAGAAAATGGGACCATCTTCCGTCAGATCTGCTTTGATTTGGATTCCTGCCTTGAGCTGGGGGTTGGACTCCATGGCCTTAGAGGCCCCTTCATCATTCTGTGAGTCTATACCTGAGGACCTTAACAGGTCTCATGTACAGGCATAACACAAAGTTGATGGTTTCCAGTTCTTGCCATACTACATGATGATGCCTATATGCAGAGATCCATCCATCCATCCATCCATCCATACCTGTTCCATAGCTATTCCACCTTTCCTATAAAGAGCTCCATCGTTCATGGTCCTCTTCCCTGTCTATAGGTGCAACCGAGAGCGGCTGTACACACCGGCCAGTTTCACGGCTGACTATGGATTCGAACGGGATCTGCGCCACCTCGATCCCCAGGATGGGAAGCAAACGAGGCTGGATCCCGCGCAGAGAGTGCGGACATTCCGCGGACTCCAGCCCACATCGCCCTTGCCATGGGGGGTGGGGTGGGGTGGGGGGGCTCGCCGTCGCTTCCCCTTTTCTCTTGAGCCTGCCCGTCTCCTCCTCCAGGCGTCTCCGATGGGTCGTGTGTCCCCCCTCCCCGGCGATGAGGTGGGAGAATCCGCCGCACACGGGCGGAAAATTGATCCAGAAGCGGAGTGGATCTCTTTTTCCCCTCCAATTAACTCTCTTGTACAAAGAGGGGCCCCTCTTAAGCTCCTTTCTGCTCTCTGCCGAGCGTGACGCCCCAGGAGCGAACGGGAGCAATCCAGCCCCGCAAGCAGGTTAGCTTCTGAATACCACCGAGTTCTTCGTCTGGCTGGGCTTTGCAAAGCGGGGGCGGGGAAGACACCAAAACTCCCCCATCTGGATCAGAACTTGAGGCTAGGCTCGGAGGAGTGGAGGCTTCCATGGATAAATGTATCCGATCAGCCCTCTCTTATTTTGTTGAATAAAATGGATGGGGGTGTCATTTTTTTAAAAAAGAAGCAAACACCCACCCACCCCCGATATGGCTTGACAGGTCGGTCGTGTATCAGTTCCAGAAAGGAGTTTAGACCCAGGAGCGGACCATCTGAAAGCTCTGGAGCATCCCTCGGAAATAACTGATTCTTGCCTAGCCGGATATTTCTTCCGAGAGGCAACGAATCTCGGCTTATCTGCTTCGTATCTCCATTTTCGGGAGGCTGCGGGGGGAAACGCGTGGAGCAATTCAGAGAGTCACTAAACGCTTTTGAGGAGGGGGGGTTCCTCGTCCCCCTTTTCGGCCCAGCGCACCCGGCCCGACCCCCATCCATCCCTTTCGCTCGTCCATGGCTGCGGGGAGGGGGCGCTGGGAAGAGAGTCTGGGGGCTGGACGGGGCGCTCTGGGCCCTATCCGTCCCGGGTGCGCAGGCCCGGCCCTTCAGCCCGTCCTCTTTCCCAGAATGGAAGTCCTGAGATAAGACTCTAGAGCGGGGGGCTAAATTTAGCTCCGGGGGCCCCTTTTGGAGTCGCGCAGCTGCCGTCCCGACGGGGCGATCGCCTGGCTTCTTCTGCCCCCGGCAGCCTCGACGCCCCCCCCTTGTTCTCTCCCCTTTCTCCTTGCCCCCAGCCTCGGGGGTGGGGGGCAGTCTGCGATGGGAGGCCGACCCCCTGCCCTCGCCTAGCGGGTCCCCAACGACCGACCTCACAGAGGCCGGCCTGCGACACAGCCAGCCAGCCTGGCCCTCCGGCGCCCCAGCTTGGGGGCCCCAGCCCGGCGTCTCCGCCAAGCCACCAGCTCGTGAGTATCCCTCTCCCGGCGTCGGGTCAGCCCGCCTCCTTCCCCGCTGCCCGCCGCGCCCGCCCGCGGAATCGCCCCGCGGGGATTCCGAACGCGTTCCCACGTGCGCGCCGACACGCGAAGCCCTTGGCTCGCTGGGGCGCCGCCACCTCGCTGTCTCCAAGGGGGAAGGGAGCGGGGGGGGGGGGAGAGAGAGGGGGACAGCCCAAGAGTAGATCGCCACACTTGGGCGGGGGGATTTTTTTTCAGAGCCCTCCCCCCCAAAAAAAAAAACTCCTTTAGCATCCAGGACGCCCAGAAGGTTTGGCCCCAAACGATGGGCGGATGTTTGCTTCTGATGTCTAGGTCGGTTTTAACCATGGTTTTAGCGCAGGCAGCCTTGCAGGATGGCACCACTCAGCTACAGAGAGGGGGACCCTTGGCTTTTGTGGACTACAAATTCCAGAATCCCCCAGCCCTGCCCGCTGGGGGATTCTGGAAGCTGTCAGGGCCCGCTTGCCTGCCATCGGTCTCCTGCAAGATTTCAGAAGCAGGAGAGAGGAGCCCCCCCCAAAAAAAAGCTGGTCACAAGTTCCCCAGAGCAAACATTGGAAGGGGGAGACCCTGCACCACCTAGGCTGAAATGCCGGAAAGGGGTCTGATCCTGCTTGGTCGCCTCCAGTGTCGGTCCACGGGTCCCACTAGATCCTGCGGGCCACGGGACTAAAGATCCGTTCCAGTCAGAACTGCGCCCTGAGCCTGAAGGTGGGCGGGAGGCGATGCCGGGCCCACCTCTCACTTGGCCGGTCTCTGCTGTGCCCAAGTTGACCAGTAAAGTTGACCTCCCGTTATTTATCTCCAGCCTGAGCAAAGACCGACAGAACTAGACTCATGACAGGAGGCAACGGAGGTATCCAGGGTGGCCTTCGTTCTAACTATGGGGCCTTGCCATAGGAAAGGGCCATGAACTGCTTGGTTAGTAGCTGGCAGTCAAACGACATTCTTGGGGGTTTTATAAACTCCAAATCTGTATACCTTTTGCAGCAAGCTGTAGCTGGCAAATCTCAGGTTTCTATTAAATTAAATGTCTAGATTCCAAGCAGATCTCATAGGCAGACACAAGATTTCTCCAACAGCCCAAAATATGGCCCTGGTCCACCGGGAAATGTCCCACACCTGTCTCAGTTGGGCCATTTCCCAATTCCGAGCATGCCTTTGCTCTGAAAGATTTTTTAAGACCTGAAAGGGGGGGCTAGCCAAACTTTTAAGTCATCTGTAACATGGACAGAGATGGGGAAAGTTTACTCTCTTTTGGCGGATGCCTTTTGGGCTCCCCCAGTCACGAAGGCCCTCCTGGTGCCAGGATGAGTCGTGAATTTGTGAAGTTGCATCTAATCCAAAACAGCAGACGTCACCAAAGTCAGGGGAAAAGAAGCAAACCAAGCAGAGTGAAATGCAGTCTTCTTGGAATTCTCTAAAATTTGGAGTCCAGATTGAGATTGGGTTTATGCAAGTCCGGTTCTCCCCCCCACCTCCCAATGTCAGCAGCTGGAGCTGGACTGGAAATGTGCAGCCACCAGGCATCAGCCTCCGGGAGGTGAAATGTTTGGAGGCTTCCAAGATGGAATGTGTGGGGCATTCTTTTCCTCCCCTTCCCCCAGGCTTGTAGAGTTTCCATAGCTGGACAGGTGGAGCTCCAGAATTCCTCCTGGTGAAAAATGGAAACCATGCACTTCTATGGGGCTTCCGTTTCTCAAGAGTAATGCCAGGAATACCACTATGTCCCTCCACCAGCTTGACCCCCACCCCCAGATCCCAGGCGGCTAAAGCGCCTCTGTCTTTTACAGATGAATAAATTAAATCTGCTAGACAGCCCCCTCGTCTAGCATCCTTTTCCCATTTTTGTACAAATCACTGACATAGCATTGATAGCCATACCAGCAGGGCAGGAAAATACAGGGACGACATCTCTGGTTCCCCCTAGTGGCCAATTTCAATAATGCACCTTGCAAATAATCGACAAAAAGCAAAAGAATAAAATCAAATCAAAGAATCCTTCCCTTGCCATTTTGGAATAATAAGAGAATGGAATCAAACCTTTTAAAAATCCCCATCAAAATGCCTCCAAAATGCATTAAGTACTGTGTGACACTATAAAATAGCACTGAAGGGCATCTGATGAAAAAGGCTAAAGTTCATGAAAGCTGAAAGCAAATAAAACATGCTAGTCCTTAAGCTGCCTTGAGACTCTTCATAGTATAGGAAAACTGCATTCTCACCCCTACGCATGGAAGGACTGCAGTCCGTCTAAAATTTAGTCATGACCCGGAAGCCATTGAAAATGGAAGGTTTTTAAACGGCAGAAAAATTCAATTCATCTCCCCCCCCCCAAATGCACTGCTCTTTTAAGAGGAAGGGCAGGGTGGTCCCATGGCTAGAAGGCCATGTTGATGATGGGGTCAAAGTTGAGGCCTGCACCACCTTCTCCAAAACCAGGACAATCCTAGCCTATGGCCATTACCTTTGATGTCTCTCCAAGTCAAGCGTTAAAGGCTATCTGAATAAATTAGTGAAGGTCTCTCTACCTACCCAGGGCCGGTTTCCATATTTAAAACAAACTTCACACGGATCATGTGGGACCACAGAGGGACACTGAAACAACAGGACACACACTTTAGCTTTTAAATCAGCCGGAGACCCATGGGCACAGAATAAATACTGTACCTGTAGAAGGGAGCAGCCGAAAGAAGGCCGGTCCTTGCATCGGCCAAGGTGGGAAAGCTGCCTCCAGAGACAGTGGGAAGTTGCAGGGTGGTTATAGTACCTTCTCAGGCATATGTTGGAGAGAGCCAGCAATCACAACTGGCACCATGTTGTTTGCCCCAATGCCCAAGAACTTCTCACTGCTTTTGGGGGAAAGGCTTGAGAGCTCTAATCTTCCTCCCAAGCCCCTTTATCACACAGGCACCCCACCTAAGGCTGCTCCTGTACGGCCCATCCACCTGGCCAACCGTGGGATTAAGTCTTGTTTCCTCTTGGTTGGTAGCTTTCCATCACTGGACAGCTCAGGATGAAAATCACACTCAAGAGACCAAGGAAGATGAGCCTGCTGGACATCACCAAGATTTTCTCCCTGCTGCAACCCAGGGAAGATGAAGAAGGCGAGGGGGAAAGGCAAGAGCTGAACCTCGCGGTGTCTCAGGATGATTACCAGCTCCTGGACCAACTCCTGCAGCAGGACAGGTACAAGCGGTTCATCGACAGCCGGAGCGGCTGGGGCGTGCCCGGGACTCCCCTGCGCCTGGCCGCCTCCAAAGGCCACGTGAGGTGCGTGGAGGTTCTCCTGGCCCACGGAGCAGAGGTCGACAGCCTGGACGTGAAGGCTCAGACGCCGCTCTTCACGGCCGTCAACAACGGCCACCTGGACTGCGTCAAGGTCCTCCTGGAAGCCGGGGCGGATCCTTCCGGCAGCATCCACAACAACTGCACGCCGCTGCTGACGGCCGCTAGAGAGGGGGACGTGGACATCCTGAAGGAACTCTTGGCCCACGGGGCAGAGGTCAACGTCAAGGCCCGGCTGCCCGAGTGGGCCGCCAACTCCGTGGCCTGCTCGGGCCCGTTGTACCTGTCCGCCGTCTACGGCCACCTGGAGTGTTTCAAGCTCCTCCTCCTCTATGGGGCGGACCCCAACTACAACTGCAACGATGAGAAAATGGTCGCCCGGATCAAAGCTCCAAAGACTCTTCTAGAAATCTGCTTGAGGCACGGCTGTGGAGCCGAATTCGTCCAGCTCCTCCTCGATTTTGGCGCCAACGTCTACTTACCAGGCATTGCCTTCGACGTGATCTCTGCAAACTCCAAGGCGCAAGATCTGTTAGCCAGAGAGCGAGGTAATTCATGGTCTTTAAGGGTGATGATGACAGAGGGCGTTGGGAACCATATCAAGGGATGTCAAGCCGTTTTATAAGCAGTTGCAGCTTTCAGAAATGACATCATCCGAGCTATTAAAAAATGACAACATTTATTTATTTAACTATTTATTTAAAATATCTTTGTAACATCTGTCCAGAGCAGAGAAATATTGCGTGAGATTTAGCATGTTAATGTCAAAATGATTCATTTTTGTGCCAAACAGGAAGGATGCCTGTAATCTTTTAGGAGACAATGCTTTGGAAATAGTGTTATCCATCAGAGATGTTAACTTCAAAACATTATTGTTTAGACACATCACTAGGCTTATCTTCCTATATAGTGCAAAAGGAAGGGTTTTAATATGAATGAATGAAATCTAGTGTGCTATTTTTCACATCTGTCTCTAATGTTTGCATGGGACATGCAAGACAGTCCTAAATCCATGTACCTGGTGGTCCCATTGCATCCTATCTTATCCCTAAGTACAGATGTGAATAAGCAGATTTCAAAAGGGAAACTGAGAGTGTGCAGGGAAGCTGTTTCTCAGCAAGTTAATTTCACTTCAGTGCAAGAACTTATCAATGAACAGATACTTACAGAGCTAAATTCACTTGCTACTCTGTAGAGAAGTATATTGAAAAGGATCTAGGAGGTTGTAGTAGACAGCAGGAGCCAACAGTGTGACGCTGCAGCAAAAAAGGCTAATGTTTTAGGGTGCATCAAGGGAAGTATAGTGTCCAGAACAAGGGAAGGAATGGTGCTTTTCTGCACTGGTCTGAATTCAGCTCCCTTGTGTCCAGTACTGGACACACCCGTTTAAGAAGGATACAGACAAACAAGAAGTGGGCAATAAAGGTAGTTAAGGATCTGGAAAACAAGCCTTCTAAAGAACGAAGGAGGGAACTGGGTATCTCGAGACTAACAGGTGAAATCTTAGGTGATATTGTCAAATACTGTACCTCAACATGGCAGGTGGGGAAGTGTGTTTTCTGTTGCTCCAGAACTTGCAGAACTTGAATCAGTGGGTTCAAAATAGTTCAGAAAGGAGATTTCAGCTCACGGGAGAAAGAACTTTTCTTGATGGGGAAGAGCTGTTTGACCAAAACCTCCTCTTTCCCACAGCCCTCTGTGGGAAAGTGAACTGAAATCAGAGACGGAGTATGCTTGACCCTCTAGGTCTCACACTGGATTACAAGTCCCATTTGCATCCACCACTCATTGTGTTGGCTGCTCTTGATGGGCTTTGTAGTCCGACTGCCACTGAAGGAGCAATCAAGAGCCATGAACTATACAAAAGACCCTCTCTCCTTATGGGTTGATCCTGCTGCCTAACTGTGAACTCCAGGGGCTGCTGAAGTAGCAGAATGAGGAGCTCCTGCTGTTACTAAAGTCTCTAAAACCCTTGATGGATTGATTGGTTTTGCACCTCCTCTTTGCTTCCAATTGATGCATCTCACTTTGGGGGCCCCTCCGTGTCGTTTGAAGTCTCCATAGGATGTTCATTGAGGACTCACACTTTCCTTCCTTCTCCTTCCACCTCCAGCGGTCCCCAAACCTTTGATGTCTCAGTGCAGGCTGGCCATCAGGAAGTTCTTAAAACGGGCGAACCGGCCGCACGCGGTGGATCAACTGGAAATCCCGCTGGTGCTGCTGAACTACCTCAAACACCAACCGTAACCAAAGAGCCGAGTGGGAACGGCCCGGCGTGATCAAGGATGGTAACTGGATAAGAAAAGAAGAAATGAAAACATCTAAGAATTGGAATTTCAGTCGTGTGGTGGTCTTGTGTAGTTCTCTCAGTGTGTCTACGTTTTATTTGGGCGATCCGCTGTGGGTTTTAGTCCGAAGGGGCTGAACCCATCTGGGAGACAGGGTGTTTGGAGAGCTCTGTAAAGTTCACACTAAAACCCGAAATGGTTTATACCACCCTCACAAAATTACAAGGCGAGCCTCTATGTGCTGCCTTAATTAAACACATTATCTTTTTTCTTTTCAAAAGGTGACCGATCCAAAGGAAAAGCTCACCATTCCAGGAGCTAACTGGGGAAACCATACACTTTGGTTGTTGCTGATATTAACATTATTGTTATTCTTACCATCACTGTCACTATGATCAGCGGGACTCTAAACTGTTCTAGGTCGTGATCCACAACCAGCAGTAGGGCATTTCCATAGGCGATGCTACCCATTCAGTCCTGGGCACCCCAGTTCAGCTGTCAGCCCTCTTGAGTTCAATGAGTTTTGTCGTGGTGCATTACTGTGTTGTTTGGGTTTATGGTGATTGTGAGGTTGGGGGCGCCCCAATCCTTCCAGGCAGGCTGCCTGCCATCACCCATCAGTCCCCGGGGAGTCCAGGGAAACTGCTCCTGGGCACCTGGAAGGCATTGGGGTTGGCAGGACAGGTGTGTGGGGGAAGAGCCCGCTGATGGGGGGTGTCTGGGGGTGAGCAGTGGTAGAAGCTTGGGGCCCTTTGTTGAGGGTGGTGAACTACGCCTGGCAAGCAGGTCTCTGGCGGGAATCCCCTGAATCCGTGCCAGTTGGGAGCCTCAAGGGCTGTGGGAGGTCAGTCTCTGTTCATTGTCCCAGAAGGACCCTCACTGCCTACCGCCGCCTGGCATCCACATTGGTCAGCTGCAGCAGCCGTGCCCACAAACCGCACGGCTGCCGTGCCAGTGAGGCAGATGCCCCGTGTGAGAGGCAGAATAGGAGCCAAGGAGCAGACCTCCGCATGCCTAGCTCTGCCGACCATCCTTTCCCCCCTCCTGTTTCTCCAGGCCAGGTCCCCCAGTGAGGTTATGTGGGGGTCCCCCTTGAAAAGATACTACTTGGGGGGCAGGGGTTAGCGCAGGGAACTCAACCCCCCAGGAAACCCACTGGGGGGGGGACTGGAGATTCAGTGACTCTACTGAGACCCAAACTCACTCCAATCAATGATGTTGTTGGTGGTACGAAGAGCCTGGAGCCGGTGGCATCGTTGCCCTGGGCCACCGTAGCCACCAGCCCATATGCCAGTGACCATGATGATTAAAGTCCTCCAAGCTCCTCTCGTTAAGAGCTGCATCTTCCTTCAAGCAGCCAATCAACGGGTCACGCTGCCTAGAATGATGGGCTTAGGGAGAATGACAGGCCACTTCTCTGCGTCCACCCATCAGCTGATGTCGCTTTTGGATGGGAGGGTCCCGAGACATGAAGAGTGTTGGGCTTTGTTTTCTGATTGGCCCTCGGAAGGTAAAGATGGGCTTCATTAGCAAGTCTTCCATTTCCCTGATATGAAGGCATGCCAGGAACATGACACAGGGTGTTTGCAGTACATAGCTGGGCCCTAAGAGAGGCAGGTAATGGTCAGCGTCATGTCATGGGGTGTTTTTAAGAGAAGAGGAAGGTAGAAGCAGACTGGCTGAGGGTGGAGGTGGTGATGCCTCTGGTTCGAATCCTGCTGACCTCAGTTGCATTCAAACAGACACCCCAAGGGGGGGGATGTAATTTGTTAATACATGAGTGGACACTAGGAAAAGATCATTATTTTCTATGTGATAAAAAAAATGACCAGCTGGTAGGCGCAATAACAGCTGTGCATGTATATTCATTCATGTAAGTTTCATGATTAGGGCCAGCCTCCCTCCTGCCATTACAGTCTCCTGGGATCTAAAGAAGACCATCCTCATGAGGGGGAAAATAACCGTCTTGTTTGCAAGGAAACAAGCCCAAGCAGATTTTCCACGGACTTTCATCCATGAATAATTATCTTTGATCGGCGAAGCTTAATAATCAGGCTTCACTCTAGAGGCTTGGAGGCAATACCAGGCTTAGCAAAGGCCCAAAGGATATTTAATAAAAAAAAGAGGACAAAGCCGTGGAAGGGAACGCCTTTCAGCCCCTTCTCTGCAGAAAAAGAATCCAGTCTCAACCGTTTTCTTTGCTCTTAGCTGTTTCTTAAAAACAACCAGCAGAGGTAAAAGAGCTGAACCAGTTTTCGCAGGTACCGATTCCAGCAGGCTTGCTGTAGCTGGAAGTAGACATTTAAAGAAAAAAAATTACAGATTTTTATTTGAATGGTCCCCAGCACCACATGTTTTCATATTCCTTATTCAGGTATATGTATGCCAGTTAAGAGATATTTTGGAAGACTCCTTTTTAGATGTATTTTCCCTTCCACAGCAATTTTATTGTTTTTCTGGACATGTGTATCTTGAAAACAGCTACTATTAACAAAGCAGAGTGTGGCCTATAGCACTTAAAGCTCTCTCTGGGTGGTTTGCAATTTAATTATGCAGGCTACACACACACACACACACACACACACGCAAGCTGGGTACTCAGTTAACCCGCCTCAGAAGGATGGAAGGATGAGTCAACCTCGAGCCGGCTACCTGGGACCGAACCTGAGTTTGTGAGCAGAGTTTTGGCTGCAGGACTGTTAACCCACCTTGGAAGGATGAGTCAACGGCGCGCGGGCTACCTGGGACCGAACCTGGGTTTGTGAGCAGAGTTTTGGCTGCAGGACTGCAGTCTAACCACTCTCCAATTAGGAACAATTCAAACAAACAGAAGTGGCATAGTATAATCGCCAAGCCAGCATTGATGCCGACTCCCCGTGGCTACTGGACTTTGTAGTTCAAAAAAGGAACTTGTCCTTTCTCTTTGTCACATGTTTGATCTCTGAAACTCAGCATCATCGACCTGTTTATTATTTCAGGGGATCGGTCAGTTGGCCAGCTGTGAAATTGTCTGCTTCTGGCCTAAAGGAATGAGCCTCGCAGTTCTTCCCGCTGGCCTTTCATGCGCTGGTCTTTGGCTTGCATTCTTATTTTTTCTGGTTTGGAGAAAAAGGTAAAGGTTCCCCTTGGTAATTTGTCCAGTGTGTCCGACTCTAGGCGGCGGTGCTCATCTCCAAACCATAGAGCCAGCGTTTGTCCCCTCGCTCCAAGCCTGTAAAGATTTCTCCCCCCACCCTCTTCTACACGACACCAGAGCACAGGCAGAGTTCTAGCTCCTGTTCCCTGGAGATGCCGGCCACAGAGACTGGCGAAAAGTTAGGAAGAAAAGCCTCCAGAACGCGGCCAAGCAGCTAGAAAAACCCACAACAACTAAAGTAACACATTATTTATAAACAATGTTTGTTTGTTTGATATACCGCCCCATTAATGCCGACTCTGGGCGGTTTACAAGTTAAAAACCCCGGAGCATATTTGTGATCTTTAAATAAGAAATAAAAGCTTGGCGCTCTTTCATGAGCCCTAAGATCCGCGGGTCGTCCCCCCCCCCCCCCAATTTGCTGGGAAACGG